TCATGAGGCCACGTTAGCGCTGCCCCGATTATGTTAGTATTACTGCAGTTATGTTGGTGTTGCTGTGGTTATGTTGCCTCGTTATTGTGACATTGCTACGGACGTGTTTATTGTTATTCCTGCTGTGTCTCTCTTTCTTGTTCTCTGCGTGTTCTAATTCCTATTTTTCTGCCGTTGTTCTTGTTCTCAGTTTATTTCTTTATTTGTGGAACGAGGCAACATTTTTTTTATATATATCGTTTAACGAAGGCCAACCACGACTTAAAACTTAAAATAAATGGAATATTGGTCGTGCATAGTTTATTTGTGATACATATGTCGTATCATTTTATTTGTGATACATATGTCGTATCATTTTATTTGTTTAGCAACGAGGTAGAACACCTTAAAAAAAACACTTTTAAATTTCATATCAAATTATTTTTATTCGTTTTATCGCTACTTCTTCGTATTTTGTTGATTTCTCTAAACCAAGAATAAATAAATAGATAATTATACATTAATCATATAATATGCATAAAAAAATTGGTTGAAACAACAGAAAAAAATGCAATATACATATTTCTTTTAAACTTTTTTGCTTAGTAACGAAGAAAATGCCCTTATATTTATTTTTGTATCATTTTCCTTTACTTTCTTTCTATTCTCGTATTTTGCAGAGTTTTGTAGATTTATCTAGTGCAACAATAAATGAATAAATGATCACACCACATTGATAATAGAAAGAAAGAAACAAAATATATAAAGAATAAACAAATAAACAATTTATCACATCACAAAAACAAACAAATAAAAAAACACACATATACCCAAAACAAAAAACGACGGAGAAAAAAAAAAAAAAAACGCAGACACTTCGAGCAGACGCAAACTTGACACTTCTGCCTTGGAGTGAGTAAGCTGAGGCTTATGCGACGCAAGAGACACGCAAAATACGCGGTTATTTGCGCCAAGATGCATGGGGGAACGTCGCCTCTATATCCAATATGGCGGCCGTGAAATATTGCCCGGTTTCTCGAGATGGATGGATCTACTTTCCTTTTTTATTTCCTTTTTATTTCGCTACCCCATTTCATATATATATATATGTATGTATATATATATATATATATATATATATATATATATATATATATATATATATATATATATATATATATATATACATATATATATATATATATATATATATATATATATATACATATATATATATATATATATATATATATATATATATATATATATATATATATATATATATATATATATATACATATATATATATATATATATATATATATATATATATATATATATATATATATATATATATACATATATATATAATCCTCCTATTTACTATTGTTCTTCCGTCCCTTTCTTTCCTTTTTCTCTTCCTTTCCCTTGCCTTCCCCTTACTTTCACCCCTTGCTTCATTTCTGCCTCTCCCTTATTCCATTCTCCTCCTTCCCCTTCTTCTTCCTCATTCCTTTTTTCCCTCTACCTCATTTCTTCATACTCTTTCTTTCTCTCTTTTTCCCTCTTCCTTCCTCTCCATTTCTCTCATTCTCCCCCTTTTCCTCTCTTTCATGCCCATCTTTCCCTCCCTCACCCTCCGTCTCCCTCTTCCTTCTTCTTCCTTCCCCTCTCTTTCTTCTTCCTTCCTCTCCCTCTCTCTCCTTCTCCCTTCCTTCCTCTCTCCCTCTCCTTCTCCCTCCCTTCCTTTCCCTCTCTGTCCTTACTCTCTTCCTCCCTTCCTTCCTCTCTTCTGTCCTTCTCCCTTCCTTCCTTCTTCTCCCCTCTCTCTGTCCTTCTCCCTTCCTTCCTCTCCCTCTCTCTCCTTCTCCTTCTCCCTTCCTTCCTCTCCCTCCCTCTCCTTCTCCCTTCTTCCTTTCCCTCTCTCTCCTTCTCCCTTTCTTCCTCTCCCTCCCTCCCTCCCTCCGACGGCGCGCAATCCATCCCCGACCGTTATAAAGACGATCAAATTTCCCGCGCAAACTGCCGGCACCGATCACCCGGGCTTGGTAATTCGTCCATTTACGTATCGGCGAAAACGATTTTTCTTTTTTTTTTTCCTTTTTATGATTCTCTCTCCCTCTCTTTCTCTCTCTCTCTCTCTCTCTCTCTCTCTCTCTCTCTCTCTCTCTCTCTCTCTCTCTCTCTATCCTTTCTCTATTATTATCATGATTATTATTATTACTATCATGATGATGATGATTGTTATTATTACTCATTAGCAAGTCTATTCAGCCGCCCTCTCTCTCTCCTTTTATTATTATCATTATATATATATATATATATATATATATATATATATATATATATATATATATATATATATATTTTTTTTTTTTTTTTTTTTTTTTTTTTCTTTTTTTTTTTTTTTATTTATCATTATTTTTTTTTTATTAGCAAGACGCCCATCTATTCAACCGCCATCGCTTTTGAACGCTGTTTTCGAAACATGTTACACGCTTCGAGATATACGGGTGATCGAGACGGCTGGTGCGAAAAGAAAAAAAAAGAGAGATAAAAAGTGTGACAAGAATAAGTGGAGAAGGAGGAAAAGAGAAAGAGAGAGAGAGAGAGAGAGAGAGAGAGAGAGAGAGAGAGAGAGAGAGAGAGAGAGAGAGAGAGAGAGAGAGAGAGAGAGAGAGAGAGAGAGAGAGAGAGAGAGAGAGAGAGAGAGAGAGAGAGAGAGAGAGAGAAAGAGAAAGAGAGAGAGGTGAAGTGTAAAGTGTAAGGCGAGTAAATAGACATGAGAGAACAACAGAGAGAATTAGTGTGAAGGTTTGGTGAATGGCAGAGTGAGTGGGAAGTGTGAGTGAATAGCAGGGTGAGTCAGTGTGAATCGTGGGAAAGGGCCTGGGTGCGTGAGTGCGAATTGTGGATCTTCGGCAGAGTGAGTAAGTGTTAAGGGTGTGAGGCAGGAGAGGGAAGCGTTGATAGCCACATGTTTAGCAAAATGAAGGGAGCGGGGGATTTTGGTGTGTGTGTGTGTGTGTGTGTCTGTCTGTCTGTCTGTCTTTCTCCTCCGTCATTCCATCGGCAGAAAGGTTGTTGAGAGCATCAAGGTCTAGCAAACGAACCCATTTAACTATGACAGAATACTATAAAAAACTCCATCCTCGGTAGTTATATATTTATTCTATTTTCTGTTCATGCCACCATTAAATATATATATATATATATATATATATATATATATATATATATATATATATATATATATATATATATATATATATATATATATATATATGTATATATATATATATGTATATATATATATATATATATATATATATATATATATATATATATATATATATATATATATATACTATACACACACACACATACACACGCGCGCGCATCCTAATAACAAAACCATAGTGCCATAAACTACATCTCATGGCACCATTCGAAACTTTAAAATGGAATATTACAATTATTATTATCTTTCGCAAATACTGGAAGAGTTTTTTTAATCAGTGAAGATCCTATACAGGCGGGCAGTAACGTATTTATCTTCCGCGTTATTAACACGTGAGCGCGGGAAAAATGGAAATATCTGGCTGTTCCTTCCACTTTCATCCCTCCCTGTTCCCTGCTTCTAATCCGATCCCTCCCCCCCCTATCTACCACTTCCTCCTCTTCTCTTCTCTTTTCGTTTATATATATATATATTTTCCTATCTCAATTCTTCTCCTTATATTCTCCTCAGATACCACTTTGTTTTCCTTTTTCTTTGTATCATTCATCTCCTCTCCTTCCCCCCTTTCTCTTCCCTTCCTACTTTTTCTCCCTCTCCCCACTGCCTCCTTTCTCTCCCTCCATTTCTCTTCCAACCCCTTTAATTCTTTCCATTTCCTCCTTTCTTCCCTTTCCATCTTTCTTCTTGCCTCCCCTCCCCCCTTTTCCCCAGTCCCTCCCCTTTCCTCCTCTTTTCTCCCCCCCCCCACCCTCCATCCTCCTCTTTACCACCTTCCATCCTCCTCCTCCTTCCCCCTCCCCCCTCTATCTTCCTCCTTTCTCCCATCCCCTCCCTCCCCTCCCCCCCGTCCCTCTCTATCCTCCTCATTTATCCCCCTCCTCCATCTTCCTCCTTTCTCTCCCCCCCCCCCCCGTCCCTCTCCAACCACCCTCTTGTCAAGTTCCACAACAGGTAACTCCCAAGCACCATCGAGGCCCAAGTTACTGTGGTAAAGTTTAATATCAAGCGAATTTTACACCGGGGTTGATATCACGGTCTTAATTAACCCCTCTTCATCCCCTCCCCCCCTCCCCCCCCCACCTTCCTCTTGCTCTTCCCACCACCGCGCTTTCAACGGCCTCCTCCTCTCTCCTCTTTCGATCTTCTCTTCACTTTCTTCTTCTTCTTTCCCTTCTATCCCTTTCCTCCTCCGCTTTCTACCTCCCTCTTCGCTCTTCCCCACCACCAAAACCCGTCTTCTTCCATCCCCCACTATCCTCCACACCCCTCCTCTATCTCCTTTATTCTTATTCCGCTCCTTCCACTCTTCCCTCCCCTCATTCCCTTTCCTCCCTCTATCCTTTCCCCTCTCATTTTTCTTTCCCTTCCCCCCTCTCCTTTCA